ACCCCTTGTGGGGGCTTCCTCAGGTCCTCAGCAGCCCATGGCCCTTTTGACATTTCCATGGTAGCTGCTGGAGGAGCTGTTGGTTTTCCCCTCCAGGGCTCATATCCACAAACCTAGGCCTGGGGGCTGCGTACACTTCATCCCAATCCTGTAGACCCCTGAGAAGCTCAGACACTGAAGTTCAGAATCACGGGCATAGGGACGGTGTGAATCAGATCCAAGCCCACCTCTGGGCAGGAGGAAGCTTGTGGGGGCAGGATGCGGAGTCTGGTTCTGCTCCGGGTGAGGCCCGTGTGGACCTGGCTGCAGATGACACCCCCTGAGGCTGAAGACCCTTCTGTGGCATGGTGACAGACCCTCCCTCAGCCGTGGCTGGGCTTGTCTTGGGAGCCCCTTTTCAAACACACTCCTTTTAGGCTACTGCAGCTTTGTGACACCTTCTCTGTCCACTGACTTAACCAGAATTGCCTGAGGCTGGTGACTGTCACCTCTCAATTCTAGGACCCAGGCCTCAGAGGGTTGCAAATGCAAATAGGGGTGCTCCCCACCAGGCTAAATATACAATGCTGCCAGCAGGCTTGGGGCTGGGGTGTGAGCTGTGGGGTGGGGAGTTGAGAATTTGGCCTTGGGGACCCATTTGTGAGTTTCCTACATCCCTTCCTTCAGCTCACAGTGAGGTTTCTGAGTTGTCCCGCTCTGGCCACTTTCATTTCCTCTGGGGCTGGGTGGAGGTTGGTGCAGAAAGGGGAACTGAGCCACTGGTCTTCTGAGGCCTGGGTGCAGGGCTGGGAGCTTGCTCCCCTCCCCTGCCAGCCCCTGTGACAGGGAGGAGCTGGCCTACCCCTTCCCGGGTTCCTGGCAGCTGAGCTGCGCACTGCTCTGAGCAGTAGGAAAGTGGCACTTAGCAGCTGCAACTCAAAAAAGTACTGGGCAGGGAATTTCAGGGGAAACAGGCTCCATCTTGTAAGGCTCATACAGGCTTGGAACGACAGGGCGGGTCCAGTGCAACCCTTTGTGTATTACTTGCTGAGTGGCAGATTCCCTGTGACCAGTGGGTCCTATGATTGCTCACTCCTTTCGGTCTCTAACCCTGGGGTCTCAGAGTTAAGGACTGTATTAGTTCGTTTTGTGTTGCTATGACAGAAATACCTGAGGCTGGGTAATTTATAAGGAAAAGAGGCTTATTTGGCTTACGATTCTGGGACAGCTGCATCTGGTATGGGCCTCAGGCTGCTTCTACTCATGGCAGAAAGTGGCAGGCAGCCGGCGGGTACAAGCAGATCACATGGCAAGAGAGGAAGCAAGAGAGAGAGAGAGGAGGTGTCAGGGTCCTACTGAATAACCCGCTCTCCTGGGAACTAATAGAGCGATAACTCACTCATTAATCTCCCCTCCCTCAGGGAGAGCATTAATCCATTCATGAGGGATCCGCCCCCACGACTCAATCAGTTTCCAACACTGCCATATTGGGGATCAAATTTCCACATGAGTTTTGGAAGGGACAACACATCCAAACTCCATCAAGGACCAAGGGCGTGGGCAAGGAGAGGAGAGAAATTGCCCAGGTGCTGAGAGGGTGGTAGAGGGTGATCCAAGCCAATGCCGTTTTGTGCCCTGCTTGCCATGTCGAATCCTGCTTAACCTCATGCCTTTGCTTCACTGACCAGTTACGCCCTAACCTTTGGGCAAGCTGTAAAAGAAACCCAGTTTACACAGAGTGAATGATTTATTGCAGCAGGTGGCGTCAGTGGTGCTGGCTCTGAAATCACAAAATCCCCCTACCTCGTGAATTACAAAGACACCCGGTGTATGATGTTTTACCTTATTTTCTTAAGATGTTTCTTTAAAGTTATTCTTAGTAACAGGGGCTTTTGCTATATAAACATTTTCTAAACTGCAGGGTAAGAGAGCTCTCACCTGATACTTCACTGATTCTAGCTTTCCTGTCTGTAAGTCACCCAATTAATAAACATCTCTATTATTGAATGGACCTACCTGCTTCTTTCTTTCATCTCAAAGCACCTTCTCAATTTCCAGGGCATTATATTTTAACCCCCTCCTCCCACAAAATACTGTGAAGAGTTTCCCATTCTGGGTCTGGAGAGGGGCTGGGCAGGTGGAGGGGAGGAGGCAGGGGTCCATGTGGCCGGCTGGCCTGACTCTAGGAAGCCAGAGAGGGTGGCCTGGGGAGGTGGGGCAAGCTAGACCTTCCTCTGTATTTCCTGTAGTGTGTGCAGCACAGGCGCTGGCAAAGGTCAGGGGTTTTGTAAGTGCTACGTGATGCATGTGCAAAGGGAGGTGAATGGGAGGAACAAGAAACTGGGACATAAATAATCCTATAACACTAAGATCTGAGTTTGGTGGCCATTGTCCTTGCTGGACACATTATGAGTTGGTTAATGAGATTTCTTTAAAGATGTCCATGTGGACAACTATAAAAAAGCAACTACAGCTAAGCTGGGGCCACTAGAGCTCAGGGATAGAGGAAGAGAGACCTACGGAGTTCATGAAGGTGGGAGAAGCCACGATGAGAGAAAGAAAAAACCGCTCCGACCATTTTGAATCCTGGCTGTTTCCAGGCTGGAGCTGCTGAGTGCACAGAGCAGGAGCTGGCAAAAGCCACAGCTGGGCCCTTCGGATAAAGTTGCTTGGAGGTGGCAGGGGAGAAGAGGGTCTTGGTGGCCTCCAGGCCAGCAAGACCACTAATAGGGTTTTCGTGGGCCCACATAGGAGCGAGGAGCCAAAACAACTTAAAAAAAGGGGCCACTCAGAGGCCAGTGAGTCATTGCAAGGGATCAGTGCATGGCCCGTCCCATGGGAAGTGTTTGCAGCACGGGTGGTGGGGGAGACAGGCCCACCAGGGGAACACTGGGGCACAGCATGCACAGCTGATCTGCCTGCCAATCAGTGCAGGACCACTCAGTGGAGACTGGTCAGGAATGTAGAACTGCAGGGGATGCAGTTTGCTGAAAAGACTCAGGCCCAGACCAGAGTTTCTACACAACCCAGGTGCACTGGATTTCACTAGATCCTGAAGTTCCTATAAAGTCAACTATTAAAACCTGAGCTGCACAAAAGCCTTCCCTAGGGAATCAGCAGCAAAGCAGCAATTTAGCTCAACCGCAGAGCTCAAGTGCTGGTCCCCACAGGAAGTTCCCCCATATTAGAAGTAAGCAAAGAACAACAAATTAGTTCTGGCACAGAGTTTAAGTGCTGGGGGTAGCTAATAATCCAACACAGACCTGGAAGAAAAAACGAAGTTCCCACAACCAGAGACAAAGTTTGATATTAACTAGTAAAGGTCTCATTTCACCAAAGAACACCTGTCACACCTAGAAGGACCAGAAGTCCCCTGAGCTACCAAGCCAGAAAGTGAGGAGGGCCAGGGCCTCAGCAATGCCCTCTGACACCTGCAACCAGTTCAGAGAGTGGGGGATGAGGGCCTCGGCCACACACCCCCAACACACAACCACCACAGCAACAACCACTGCACCACCACAGGAAGTGCCCTGGGCTCTCCCAAGCTGGGGCAGTGCAACCAGCCCAGTGATCACCACTGTGCCACCACATGAAGCATCCCCACTCTCCCAAGCTGGGGTGGGTGGGGGGTGCTGAGGGCTTTGGCCCCACTCCCGTGACATGCACAACCAGCCCAGCAATTCCCAAGCTGGGGTGGTGGGAGCAAGGGCTTTTGTCACAACCCCCTGACATCTTCATCAAGTCTGGCAGTAACCAAGGCACGTCTAGAAACCCGCTGGTCTCCCCTGTGGGAATGAGAGGGTGCCACAGGCCTCCATCCCGCCCCTCCCCTTCCTCCTTCTTCCATCCCGTTTCCTTCCCCTTCCCCCTCCCCTCCCTCTCAACTGCTCCACAACAACATCATAGAATATAAAAAAATAATAATATTAATAAAATAAAATAAAATAAAAAAAGATGTCCTTGTAGGGGGAAGCTTTCCTCCTGAGGGAAACCAAGGAAGAAAGGAAGCTCTGAGAACTGGTGTGGAAACCCTCCCTCCATTCACAGGCTCTGCCTTTGTCTAAGGCCAGGTTTCTGGAAGCTGCGATGGGATTCTTGCTGAGGGACTTGTTGAGGGGGTTGTCAGGGGAAGGAGGGTGAGAAATCAGGGCAGGGAAAGAGCTGAGCAGGGAGGTGGAAAGGAGGCAGGAGACGGGCTTTCGCCTGATCCCCTGGGCACACTGGGCACAGTGGTTAGCCCACTTTGGAGCAAGGGAGCCCGGCTTTTGTCCGTGGGTGGCAGGCAGTCACTGGCTATGGCTGCCCCTGGCCTGGTAAAGGGCATCTGTGGAGGGCACCCACAGAAACCTCTACATTGTAAATCTCCCCCTTCTCTCACCCTCAAACTGAAAATTCTGTGACCCTGTGGGCAGAAAGCTGATGGTTGGAAAAGAGCATTGGCCTTGACCAGGTGGGTACACTAGAGAGTCTGTCCCTCAGGCCCCTGGCTTGCCCCTGAGCGCCCTTGTCCTGCCGGGGCAGCGAGTGCCAGCTGCTCCTGTGCTGATGCTCCCACCTGGCTTCTCCTGCAGACCCCGTGCCATGAACCAGCCCGGGCCCGGGGCTCCCCCACCGCCCCGTCGCGTGCGGCTGAAGCCCTGGCTGGTGGCCCAGGTGAACAGCTGCCAGTACCCAGGACTTCAGTGGGTCAACGGGGATAAGAAATTCTTCTACATCCCCTGGCGGCATGCCACAAGGCATGGCACCAGCCAGGAAGGAGACAACACCATCTTCAAGGTATGCCCTGGACAGGGGGGCACTGCCTGGACCTTCCAGGCACCCCATCCCCAGAAGAGTATCACACCTCCTCCATATATATACATGCAAACACACACATGCACTCACAGACGTGCACTCACCCCCAGGGCTCCTCAAGGCCAGCCACTCTCCCAGCCACCTTGCTGCTGGTGACTCTAGGCCTAGAACAAGGGGTCGCAGGGATGGCCACACGGTACACCTTTTCTCACCTATACCCCAGAGCAAGGTGGGGGCTGCAGGAGACGCTCCTAGAACTCCTCCCACTCACCGCTTGTTCTTGTCTCACTCCTGTTACACATGAGTGCATGATCAGTGTCCACATATGCTCACAGAAGCCAACAATTCACTGGTAATCTCAGTGCTGGGAGGTGCCCGCGACAGTAGTTTTTGCTTATACGTCTTCTGGGGCTTGGGAGAGGGGTGAGGTTGTCTGTGGCCGCTGACCTCTCTTCCTGCCCCAGGCCTGGGCCAAGGAGACGGGGAAGTACACGGAAGGGGTGGACGAGGCGGATCCGGCCAAGTGGAAGGCCAACCTGCGCTGCGCCCTTAACAAGAGCCGCGACTTCCGCCTCATCTACGACGGGCCCCGGGACATGCCGCCTCAGCCGTACAAGATCTACGAGGTCTGCTCCAATGGCCCCGCTCCCACAGGTACCATGCCTGGCCCTGTGTGGGCCTCCTAGGAGGCTATGCAATGTCGTGGCCCCAGCTGTGACTTCTGGGTCAGTCATGGATTTCTTCGGGGACTTCCTGGGCCAGGTGTACCTGGGCTTCTTCAGCAGCGTCCCCTAGCAGTGGTGTCCTAGCAGTATCTCCTAGTAATAGGTGGGTGAGCAGAGAGGGCACTGGGCTCAGACCCAGGTCCTCACAAGGAAGGCGGGGTCCTTCGGTCTCCTGTGACAGGTTGAGAGGTTGTGTTCAGCAAGGCCATAACCTGAGAGACTTGGTCCAGACAGCCAGTGCTGGGCTGAGCAGAGGTCATAGACTCCCCTCACCTGGGCCCTGCTCTGTCTCTGCCTCCCTCCACCCCACACCCCTAGGAACGTGCTTTTGTCTCTAGAGCTGAGCCCTGACCCACTGATCCTGTCCTGGGGGACAAAGCTGATGGGTTTCCAATCCTGGGGCCTGTGGGTGGGGTCTGCCAGGGGCCCCGGTGTGAGCCTGTCCCTCTCTGCCTCCCTCTCCAGGCACCAACATGATGATGGTGGGTGTGCACAGGCCCAAGACCCCCTGTAAGGAGGTGTATGTGAAGCATCTGGGGAAGCGGCTGTACAATGTCACCTGCATCATCAAGGAGAAAGGGGACTACATCCTCATCGAGTGGAGTGACAGAAGTGTCCCTGGAAGACCCTTCAAAGTCAATGTGCTCTGAATCCCACAACTGCCTCCCCCAGCTTCGGGCCTCACCTCCAGCCAAACACACACCCACTCTCTCTCTCTCTCACACACACACACACAGATGCACACGTGCAGAATCAGACACTACAAGCACCTGCCCTGGGTGTGAAGTGAATGCACAGCCTCGCACCCCACTGTGCCCTGGGGGTTGGAGGGCCTCATCTGTCTCAGGACAGTGTCCCTCCCTCGAATGTGACATGAGAGCAGACTGGGGCCAGGCTCAGGGGCAGACTGTGAGGTAAGAGGCTGGACAGAGGGTTGGGGAGCCAGGGAGGCCCTGAGCTTATTGCCAGTGTGACTTGGAATTCACCTCTCAGAGTCCTCATCTGTGGAATGAGGATAAAGGCGCCCCAAGCTGCACAGTTGGGTGAAGATTAGAGATCACGCAAGAAAAATGATAAGAGCTTATACCTCCATGCTGGGCATGAGGCTGGGTGGTTTTCAGGCATGTATTTATTAACCCTCACAAACACTCCGTGAGGGTTGTGCTGTTTGGGCTCAGGTCACAGCTATGAGAAATTAGCCACTGAAAGTGTAATGCTGGGGATGGGTCATAGATTAGTAAGCCTCAGGCCCAGGATTTGGCCTGGTAGCCCGCCCTCTGTGCTCCTAGCCTCTCTGCCCCCAGCCCCCAGAGGACTTGCCTTCTTTTTAAATTTTTTTTTTTCTTCTTTTTTTTTTTTAAAGATGACCGGTAAGGGGATCTTAACACTTGGCTTGGTGTTGTCAGATTTTTTTCTTCTTTTTTTTTTTTTTTTAAAGATGACCGGTAAGGGGATCTTAACACTTGGCTTGGTGTTGTCAGCACCACGCTCTCCAAGTGAGCTAACCGGCCATCCCTATATGGGATCTGAACTCGTGGCCTTGGTGTTATCAGCACCGCACTCTCCTGAGTGAGCCACGGGCCGGCCCAGGACTTGCCTTCTAACAGGCACCCAGTAAAGGGAAACTATTTTCCTTAAACCTGGTGGGAATGGAGCGCCACTTCCTCGTTCCTTTTCTGGCCGGCTGGCCCTAGCTTTCCTCTGCTCTGACCCCAGCTCCAGGCTGCTGAGGCCAGGTCTCAGTGTTGAGTCACAGCCTCCCCTGCCCCTGCCGCACACTCCCAGGGAAGAGAAACTGCCCTTTATTTACTGAAGCCTTAAGATACGTGGTGGGAAAACCACAATAAAAGAAGATACGTGGGGAGTGGGCTGGGGGAGACCTTTAATCCCTGTGTAGGCTGGGGGAGGGGTGCTTCAGACTTCTGGTCTCCATGCTGGGAGGGAGGGAGACTGCTTTGGCAGGATTCTCAGCTCCACCCTCAATGTCCCTCTTTGCCTGTGAGCCTGGGGCCCCATCCCCACCTCCCTCTGCTTTCCAGCTGCACTGAGGAGTTTCCCAGCCTTGTGGAGCCCAAGGGGCCCACGTGGGCAGCGTTCCTCACTTCCTCCCATTGGCCCCCTCCTGTTGAGCCCGGGCCCAGCCCTGCCCCCTACCCAGGCTCACCCTGCAGGCCAGGCCTGAGTTTGGGAGCTGGAAAATGGGGCTGGGACCAGCCATCCAAGGGAGGCCTTAGCATTTGGAGCCAAGCCTGGTGCTGCCAGGGTGGGTAGGGGTGGTGAGTGAAGTCCGGGAAAGAAACTTATAGGTGGAAAGGGGACTAGATCAGCTCCCTTGATTTCAGAGACCAAACGAAGCGCCTGTTGTTGATTATTTATTATTTACTGAGCACTTACCATGAGCCAATCAGTACCCTAAATTCTTTACCTACCTGATCTCAATCCTCACGTCAAGTCTATACAGTAGATGTCATAATCCCCAGTTTACAAGGGATCTGAGGCACAAAGAGGTAAGGGGTCTAAGGCCACATGGCATTAACTGTGCAGGGATTTGATTCCAGCTGGGTTTGTTTCTCCCACAAGCAGGTGAGAGGGAAAACCCGAAGGGGCTGTCCCAAAGCCCAAGAGTGGCAAGCTTGTGTTTCTTTGGGGGTGTCCTTCTGGATCATAGGCAGGAGACTCGGCCCCACCCCCGGCCCAGCTTCCTGGGGGGCTGGGGTTTGTTCTCTGGGGTCAGGACCGGGCTGGGGCGCCCGGGTGGGTCGAGGTGCCCCGCCGGGAGGCAGCGCCGCTGGGCGGGATGAGCCCTCCCTGAACAAAGGCTGGG